GACAAGAAGCGTTCTGGTGGGGCGATGAAAGATGTCGTAACGAGGGAATATACGATTCATATGCATAAGAGGATTCACGGAATGTAAGTCGTTTATTCCATTTGCCAGTTTTTTCGATTTTACCAAGTGTTTTTTTTATATGTGTTGTTTATCGGTCAAATGAAAATAAACAGGTACTCATTTAATGTTTAATTTTGGTTTTGATAATTACTAGAAAACAGCGTTTTTTGCCGAACAGAGCAAAATGTGCGAAACACTCAATTTTTCCATCGCTTACTGTTCATTTCTGTTTCACACTGTTTTCAGGGCTAAACCCCATCCAAAACCCAAGTTAAAAATGTTACGTAATCATGCAAACTATAAAAAAAGATACTGAAAAGCCAGCATACGAAACGAAGTGCCCTTTTCTTGATGGCGAATTTATGTGCATTTCTGCAGCATTTAAAAATGTGTTAATTTTTGCAAAGTTTTAGGTTGAGCCCGACCAGGCATGTCCAAAATGAATGGAATATTCGAATACATTCAAAATTCATTATAATCCATATTGTAAATTTCTGAACTTAGGAATAAGGTTACGGCTTCCTCCACCATCAAGTCCATGCTTCCAAAAACAAATAACTAACTAATCCCATACCCGACAGGAACTGGTAACTAGACGAATTGCCGTGGTTCACCATATATGCCGTCCTACCAGATTTTCCGCTCCAGAATCCTATCCAGTATAAGAGACCAAATCCACGAATCAAATAATCAATTTTGTTTCAATCTTGTCAGGGGATTCAAAAAGCGCGCTCCCCGTGCCATCAAGGAAATCCGTAAATTTGCTCACAAGATGATGGGAACAGAGGATGTCAGAATCGACACCAGATTGAACAAAGCTGTGTGGGCACAAGGTGTCAGGTAAAGGGTGAATTTTTTAACCTGTAGGCTTCATTTAGAACAAATTTGTTTCCATGATGTTAACTAGAACTGCTTTTAGTTTAGCGTTTCTACTGTTGTGTGATGCACCACTACCATTTTATATTGTATTCCAGTCGTGGACTATAATTTTCCTCTGAGGAGTTTACGTCAACTGGAAGTGAGTGTATGTAGCTTATGGGATTATTGTGGTTACCTTTAATTCTGCCCAGAAGTGAATACTCTTCACTTCTGGCATTTCAGTGTTTGTCTGTAATATTGCTCAAGAGTTTTATTTTCGAGTGAGTGCGCAGAGTTTTCGGCATTTATTTTGTGCCTGCAACATTACTCAGAGATGAGCCCCTTACTTCTTTAGTGTGTGTGGCCATGCTTTGAGCAATTTGTCTTCTATTTCAAATTCACTGAATTCGTTTGAAGTGTGCAGTGTAGAAAATTCTTAAGAGTTTAGAATTTTAAAATGTTGAAATATTAATTTGCCTTAATTTCTATGGCTTTCAGAAGTTAATGGAGTACAATGTTTATCACTATCAAAGGTCTAATTATAAAAATATGAATCATCAAAATTCCGCTGTGATAAAGCTAACTTGTCGACTTTCTCTGTCTTGGACTTATAGTTGATTTCGATTATAAATAAAGCACAACCGGTGTTAGCAAAACGATTATAATTTGTCGATGTTTCGAATTTCTATTCAGAAAAACTTCATCAGGCCATGATATGGTGATAATTTTTTCTTTCTTTTTCCTTATATATATATATATAATATTGTGCTTACCATATCATTCTGCCAACACCAGTTGTGCTTTATTTATTATCGATATGAATATACCTGGTGGCAATCATGCGCTATTATAGTTGATTTGTTACTTATCAATCTTAAGATCGGTAAATATGTTGATAGGTATTTGTATGTCTGTTTGTGTGTATGTCTGTGTGTTAGATGCATGCGATATCTCACGGAAGCGAGGTTGAATCTGTGCATTCATCTTAGCTCGGATCAGAAGCCTAGTGATTTTGGATGGATTATGTCTTATAATTAGCGAGTTATTAATTAATTAGTGATGGGACACACGGTGTCACTATGGAGTAAGACCACTGTTTTGGGGGATCCTCTAACCTTCGATCGATAAGTCTTCGGTTTCTAACCGATATTCTAGTTTAGTTTTTGAGAATTCATTTTTTTGCAAGGTCGTCAGCAGAGAGTTTGTTCTTTAAACCCAGCAAATCTCTCCTCCTGTGTCTTTGCTAAAGTACATGAGGGAGTTTGAGGCAATGCAGTCTCCTATACTGTATTGCTATAGAATCCTCATACAAGCCATAGTACTAGTATTTTGATCAAGACTTGGTTTAATTGAAATTACGATGGTCAGTATTTTTGAACTGTGTCTCCAGCTTCATAGCGATTGAGGTTTTTGAGCACAATCATTGAAAGTATGTGAACCAAGATGGCGGACAACGGAACGTAGTATGTGTACCAGCAAGGTTAAGCCATAATTTTATTCCAATTTTTCAAATACAACGTTTCGGTGTCTGCCATCTTGGTTCACATACTTTGGGAGTACCCAATCATGAAACATCAGCCTGATTGCAGTTTTGCGGAAATGGGACTCAAAACTGTGATATGAGGGTTTGAAATCAAAATTACTATTTCAGTGGTGTGAGGAAGGCAGGCCGCAGGCCACAACCCGACACCAAGCCATCTAGTGTAGCCCTTGTCAACACTCGGATTTTTTCCCATCAAGCATAAAATCCTTATATGACAGTTTATGCTTGAAAAGTCGCTCACATGGATAAAGATAAACAATGTTTTTATTGCTCTTGTCGCTGCGTTGAATATTTCGTCGTTTTCGGTGCCTCAGAAATAATTTCCGAACTTAACATTTACTCATGCATATCTTTATTTACAGAAATGTCCCGTACAGAATCAGAGTCCGTCTCGCACGGAAACGAAACGAGGACGAAGATTCAGTGAATAAATTATATACATTGGTTACTTACGTTCCTGTCGCAACATTCAAAGGTCTCAACACAGTAAATGTTGATTCAGAAGAGTAAATTATGAATTTGAAAAGTTGTTTGGTTTTTTTTGTTTGGGATGGTAAGGTTTTGTCACAGTCTTGGGAATATATAGGGGTGGAGAAATAATAAAGGGGGGGGGGGGGGGATCTGTTGGTTCCTGGGCAGAGTTTGTCTCTTTTTTGTTGTAATTTTCATTCAGAGGAGTTTTGAGCAAACGTCACCGTTTTGCTGTCATACTTGCTGCAGCGTGTGTCAGCAGTATAAGGAATTTCTTGATGATTCAGATTTCTTAGCACTGTTTTGCTGTCATACTTGCTGCAGCGTGTGTTAGCTGTATAAGGAATTTCTTGATGATTCAGATTTCTTAGCTAGTCTAGAGACAGATGGGGGTGTGGGACCCTCAGTGGTTATATAATGTTGATGTCACTGGTCTATTGGCCCCATATCCACCGTTCCATAGTGAGGTAAATTGGGTAGGCCTGTGACCTTTCTATCAGTGTGCTGCGTGTGTGGAACATAGCTAGCCTCATCCAGTATGTAATAAATTTGATATCCGACCCCAAGAGATTTTGGACCTCATGAAAATAGGAATAATATACTTTTATGTGTCTGCTTAAACAGAGGATTGTTTAGTCATAGTCAAGTTTATTTTTCCATCCAGTGAGTAACATGCAACGTTTAAAACAAAGTTGAGTGCACATTTTACTGGGGAGAGAACGAAGGCCCCCATCCAAGGTTTGAATATCTAATTGAACATTGCTACTATTGTGCAGCTACTTTAATAATAGTGGCAAACCTAATTGCGTTTCAATGATATATATATGGGGCCCAAAAGTAGGTATACAGTTATTAAACTATTTTATATGCTTTGAAGCTACATGCATTTCACTTTAAGTCACTTGTCAAGTACCACAAAAATTGCTTATTTTTTTAGATAATAAATCTAGTGTGAATTTTACATTAGTTTTCTAGCTGCTTGGAAGGTAATAAAAAATAAATAACTGTATACCTACTTTTGGGCCACCCTGTACGATATATATAATAATACAGAGTCCCTGATTGGAATGTTAACTTGCGAAAGCCCTGCTGCGGTGCCCAGAATCTCTGTTGATATCAAAACCTTGGCTCACCATTAAAACCATTCTAAATGTTTTCCTCTCAGAAGATAAACACCTTGTTTCTGATATAAAATTTCGTAATATAATCACAACTCTTTAATGTTTTAAGTTTTCTGAATGAATACAAGGAAAATAAAAACAAAGAAAGAACTGTGCTCATGTACAAATATCCAATTTTGAATGCAACACGGCGCATTACTTCAAGTTGTCTGATAATTGAAAATTAGGAGCATGGATGCCCAAAAGATTGAAATATTTTTATTTTAAATTGATTATAAATAGACCAATATTCATATACACTTTAAATTGGTTGGATTCGGTACAGTAAGCTTTTGATTTTGAAAATAATGGTCAGGCAAAGAAACAAATGATGCAAAAACTAAACTATTGTAAGACTACTACTATATTTGGTTTTACTCGCTCTAGCATGCATGCACATCAAACGCAACATAGACAGGATTATCTATCACTTCACTAGAGCTGCAGAGTTAAAAATATTCTCCAGCCAGTTTTGAGTCTGGTATAATTTTACCACGATCTACAGTTTTACGCCTAATAAATATCAAAACCGAGACAGCAGAAATCAATAAAATGCACAAAAACTTAAATTACAAAAATATTACAAAATCAATGGACTTTTGAGAACTTAATATCTTTCACAATTTTAGCCCCACCGATTAGTAAGCCCACACAGTACCCCAGCATTGCCCCAACAACCCCAGGGGTCGGCCACAATTGCCAGGGTCTATCCCAGTCAAGAGGAATAACTATAGCTGATGCCCAACTGCCGATGATGGTACATATTGTGCAGTAAAATAGGGTCCGCTTTTGTGAAGAATCAAAATTCATTAAATTGAAAAGGGCAATCCATTTCCGGGGCTTTGGGCCGAGTATGCAAACCCCGGGCACCACAATTAGGGATGAAACTAACCCTGCCCATATCGAAGTTTTTTCAGCATTTTCCAACAGAGGGGCCCCAAAAATTACAGCAAAAAAATGAGCAACTGCCCAAAAACCAGCAAACAAAATAGCCGATTTTACAATAAATTTTAAAATTTGCTGGAAGCTGTTTTTTTTCTTCGACATGGGGTAATCACGCATCCCAATTTGGGGGTTTAAAGTGGGGTAAACCACCAAAAAGAGGGTGATTTGTAATAAACTATTTAAGACCATAAAAATATTGATCACTATAAGAGGGCTCTCCACAAGAGAAAAAATAGGGTTTTCAGTTACCAAAGAAAACACTAAAAATATGAATATAAACACAAAAGAAACAATTTCAGTGAACGCAGCTTTAATTGGCGACCCATCTTGGGTGGCTGACTGTTTCAAACTCGGCACCATTTTAGATGCTACTTTTTTATTTTTATGAGAATATCTTCAAAGAAAGGCTAAATTTAACAACTTAAAGATTATTGAGCTCTTTCCAAAGAACAATGATACGAGTGATCACTGATAAATAGGAATATGATGACGCTGCAATCCCTAGAAAATGAAGGTTTATGAAAAACTTAAAAGTTCAAAATAGAAATATTATAAATACAGTGGTAGCTGTAATATACAGCTTTGAATAAGGGAAGTGACTATTAAAAAGTTTATTTTGACTACTTTGCAATATAATTTTGTATATTGCAACAGTTATTTCTTGATTTAGGCTCCTGTGCTGGCACTCCTCTTATTTACTCTCCTTTCTTCTGGTCTTTATCTGGCAATGGTGCAAATGGGTCTGACCAAACTCTCATACCACCAGGCTGGATATCTTCTTGGCTGATTCCTGCTCTCCCTTTTTCTTGGATTTCCTCTGAAAACAGAGATAGAGAGATTTATTGTTTCGTCAACCAGAAAACAAGCATTAAAACAATAAATAATACAAAAAGTTATTCGGTATAGACTGAGGGGAGCGATGCGACCATACAGTACGGCACAGTTCTCCGATTCCAAAAATAGCCCCCCCAAAAATAGCAAAACCCTCCTTTACGAGACAGTGTGGGCCTCCATACCGAAAAAAAACGGCACCATTGGATTCCTCGAAAATATTTAATCAGAATCGCCGAAAGAAAATAATTTCACCGAGGATTCGACAGTTTTCAGCAAAAACACGTATCCTTGGTCACATGACGACAGATTCAAGCTGCAATTGATTAAGTTATAAAAAGCACAGCACCATCCTCCTGCCATCGTGCCAGACGACCTTGCTATATTTAACCAAACTTCAGGACATTTTGGAAACCAAATTTTGGCTTCAAAAACTATGCCATATCGGCATATGCAAGCCTTAATTAAAAAACAAGCAGGCATGAGTCAATAAATCTAGTCGAAATAAAAGATATAGCCTAACAATACTGGCAAAACTCAACTTACGATAAGCTTTCGAATTATACAGCGGGTAAATGTAGATCGGTCCAAAAGATGCTCCAAGAAATACTACAAACGCGGCGATCAACCGATAATTCCTCGGATTTTTCACGTTCTTCAAATTTGGTCTTTCTTTTAGTTGTTGAAGTAGGAAATTCCTGACGAAAACCATCGCTCGGAAGCCAGAAAACTCCGAAGTTCTTCGCTAACTCAACTGAAAATTTTGCAGCAAATGAACTTTTGTCCTCTGGCGATAGGGTTCAATGAACAGCTACATAATTCTAACTGTGCATCTTTCGCGATCATGAGAAAAAATTAATTTGAAAATATCGGAATACAGATATTTTCAAATTGATATTTCAATATAAATTAAAAAAAATAATGTATATTAAACAGCTTTGTTCATAAACCGCTCCTTTTTTTACTTCATTTTATGCTTTTATATTTTTTGTATCCGTCAGTTTATTGTTCCAATCCAACGACTAACATACCGTTCCAATCTGTGTACTTACCATACCACTATTAGCGTATTTTTCGACATAAGATAGATAAAATAAAATATAAATAATTGTTTTTATATGTTCAGTATGTAGAAAGAAAGATAGATTCGTTGATTTGTCAACCAAATACAAATAAATAAAAGACATACAATAAATAGAGAATATTTTTGTTACGGACTCGAGGGAGCGATGAAACGTCATCAATGACTTTGATTTGCTTGTAAATGCTTTATGCAACCAGTTATTTTCCTACAGTACTAAATATTAAATATAAACTTATTAAACATAATTATAAAAAAAGAATAAAATGAGTTTAAGTTTGAAAAATTAGAAAGAAATTCAATATTTGCATGGTAATATAACAAATTGACATTATGAGAATTGTTGTCCTTCAGTATTACAGAATTCTGCAATAGGTCACATTTTTATTAATATTAATAAAATGTACAATATAGAATGATAAATTTTATTAAATTTCTTTCTCTTCCTCTCTTTCTAAATTTTGTTCAAACCAATGACCCAAAACGTGAGAATTTTTTAGGAAACTCAGACGCGTCCTCCAGTGGTTCGCTCTTCCGTCCTTTTCCGAACTTGCGACGATGGCTACACAAGTCTCTAAGAAGCGCAAGGTATTTTGGTTAGTTTTTAGGAATTTATTCAACTATTTGCTTCGTATTTTTATAATTTTGTATACCTTATTACCTAGTTGATACATATTTTGTAAATTTACGATTTGTAGTGATTCAGTTATCTCGATGTATTTGGATAAAAATGAGATACTTATACATCCTCGCTTGCTTTCGCGCGCACGCTTATAGCTATCAATGTAATGGATTCATCTGCAGTGTGGCAATGATGACTAAACTTAGGACACCGAAATACTTCTTGAATGATTAGAATTAAGTTACTCTAGCTGAGCCACACTACCAATAAGAATTTTGCACTTCTGGTTGATACTTGTTTTAAAAAAAAAAATTGGGTTAAACTCATAAGGATCTTGAAATTTCGCATGAGGTATTGAATGAAAACGTAGCTAAGCTAAACAAATACCGTCTGAAACAGCTCTGAACAGAAAGCTTGACTCAACAGGGAAACTCATTTTCTCTAGTTTCATCTAGCAAATAAATTTGAGATCCAGTTAAAATTATATTTAATCTTAAACTGACCGTGCTTAAATCCTGCTTACTTTGACTAAACTAAATAATATCAACCTCATTTTTTACTAGTTCGTTCGCGATGGCCTATTCAAGGCTGAATTGAATCAATTGTTATGGAAAGAGTTGGCAGAGGATGGATACAGTGGGGTCGAAGTTCGTGTCACTCCATCTCGTACTGAGATCATCATCATGGCCACAAGGTGATGCATTGCTGCCAGAAGCTTAAAGCTTGCTATTCATATTTAAATGTTTTTTTCTCGAGTCTGGCGTAGTTCCAGTCTGGATTTGAGTCTCGTGAAGCAAACGCCGTAATTGCTTAAATAACGCTAAACAAAAATGTAATGTGAAAATACATCCCAAATTTTCATATTTTCTTCTTAAAATAAAAATCAGTCTTGCGCGAGCGCAATACGGTTGCGCGCATGGGACAAACTGGAGGCAGACAACTCGACTCACAAGAGGACAGATAGGTCGTCCACCTTTTCGACGACGACGTTTTAAAACCATACGGGTGTAATTTCGATCTTTTCACATTAAAATTCCACATCACATTTTTGTTGGGTGTTATTTGAGCAGTTACAGCGTTCTCTTCACATCACAATTTTGTTAGGCGTTATTTAAGCAAGTAAGTCGTTTACTTCACCAGAACACTGGATTTCATGTCCTTTATCTACCAGAAATCTGGAAGTTCCAGTGTGCAATCAGTGACTACGGCACGCCAATCGTCCTGAGCCTGCGTTCGAACCTACTGAGACCGCGTGAAAATCTAGATTCTAAGCGCAAAATTAACAGAGGCCCTATTCTGCTATTTGAAATAAACTTGAATAATCAAATGTAAAATTATTGAAACTTAACAACCAAAATTTTTGTGTCTTTAACTATTTAAAAAGCCGATGTTAAATGAAGGTGCGCCCCACGGTTTCAATTAGGTATTTGTATCTGGCCCGAGTGTATTGAAGGTGGCACACCCCTGATCTTAGTATTCACCACGGCAATGATGACTAAACTTAGGACACCGAAATACTTCTTGAATGATTAAAATCATGTTACTCTACCTGAGCTGTTGGTGTATACTGTAATTGATGTTAAAATCTATAATGCCCAAAATCTGGGATGTTTAGAGTGTCCCATACAATGATATTGTGGTATTTTAACTTTGCTCATAGATTGGTCTACTTCTGAATGTTTTTTAGCAAAATGCCTATTTTTGCCACATTCTCTTTTAAACAATCGCCAAAAATCACAATTTCTAATATTTCAGAACACAGAATGTTCTTGGCGAGAAGGGTCGCAGAATCCGTGAGCTCACAGCCATGGTTCAGAAAAGATTCAACTTTCCTGACGGAACTGTAGAGGTATAAGTTTACTTCATTTGTTGTTTTTTTACTCTGGACAAGGCTCTTAACCAGGGTAGGGTAAGGTTTTGGCGGCGGGCTGAATCCAGCTTGTTGGGTGATTCAATTTGGGTCGCCCGTTGCTGCCACAAACAAACTAAAATCGTATTTTGAGGTTTTAGCTAAATATAGCTCAAATAGCATTGTTGGGATTGGGGGCGAATTTAGTTTTGACGCAAGGCTCATTGTTTTCCTGCTTTGCTTTTGTAACACCAATAGTTTAAGAACCCCTGTATTTGAATAGTAAATTTTGTTGTATCAAAGGCAAATGATGATCAGGATACCCCCGTCATAAGTGATTTGATGATAAACAGTCTCTTCACAAGCTGATGCCTTTGTTACAATGCTGGGATATTGATGCAAGCCAGCAGGGAATACACAATAGTTTCATAGCAAAGCTTGCCTATAAACTGATTCTACTCTCTAAGATTGCTCCTTTTTTTTAATTGAAAAAAAAAAATTTTGTATCTAAATGGCAAGATTTTTAAAATTTCACGTTGTTACGGTTTAACTTCACAATTAGAACTTTCAAAACCCATCATGAGAATTCTTAGCTTATGCCCCTGCCTGACCTGTGTGGCATTTGCTTTTTATAAGAACGGCAACAACTCGTGTTTCAAAATAAATTGGAATAAATGACACAATTTTTTTTTCAGTTATACGCAGAGAAGGTTGCCAACCGTGGTCTCTGTGCTACAGCACAGTGCGAATCTCTCAGGTACAAGTTACTCGGAGGATTGGCCGTAAGACGGTAAGTTGAATTTAACCAGTACCATTAAAATATCTTTTTATTGTTCATTTTGTTAAGTTAACAGCAGAACTCTGGTCATTCATGGTGGTTTGAGGTGTCTATATTTGTATGTATTCTTTCCAACTTTCAATTACTCTCCGAAACTTCGGGCCTATTTAAAACGACGCTTTGATATATGGAAGCCATCTTTAATTATGTTGAACTGTTTAGTAATAACATTTAGAGATCTAAAATTCCCAATCAGTACTTAAAAAAGAGGATTTAGAATTTCACTGCAATTCAGATTCCGCAAAGTTGGGAAAAAAATGATTCAAAATCCTATATCTTGCTATCTAACTGACAATGCATTACATAGTGATCATTGTACTTGATAAATCCCTGCGAAAACCTGATGCAATATCACCCGGACTCCACGGACTTGACTATGTTTTTGTATTGCCGTCCGCTCACCAACCTCACAGCAATGATGACTAAACTTAGGACACCGAAATACATCTTGAATGATTAGAATTAAGTTACTCTAGCTGAGCTGTGAGATTGGATTGGGCCATGTTCCTACTCTAATATCTGCTAAAAACTATTTTCGTTAAAAAAAATTCCAAAAAACAAAAAAATTCATAATATTAAATACATTTTATTTTAAATATTCATTTTTTTTGTTGTCATCAGAGGCTTTGGCAGTATATCTTGCATTTGTGAGTTGTTTCCAAATAAAAGTCACAAGTTTAATCATGCTAAAACAGCTTCATTGCCACAAAGCAGGGATAGAGCTTGCATATGGAGTATTTGTGTCCCGAAGTAAGGACAGACTCCAAAAGAGGGGGCTGTATTCATTTTTCTGTAATATACCCGCAGTGCTTGCTATGGACACCTAGGAAACGTCATGGAATCGGGGGACCATGCCCATATTTTTTACGCTGAGGTCCTGAAGTAGCTACAGTCCACTGTGGGCCAAATTGTTCTGTGTCCTGAAGTAGGGACAGTCGTGAAGGAAGGACCACACTAATATTTTTCCCATACTTTTACAGCGCTTGCTATGGAGTCCTTCGTTTCATCATGGAATCGGGGGCCAAAGGATGCGAAGTTGTCGTTTCTGGAAAGCTACGAGGGCAGAGAGCTAAAGCTATGAAGTTTGTCGACGGTCTTATGATCCACAGCGGAAACCCAGTCAGAGAATACGTGGATACTGCTGTAAGGCACGTCCTCCTTAGACAAGGTTCGTTGAGAGTTTGCATTATTTTTTTACTTCTGCTCATTGAATGAATATTTGAAATACGAAATATGATAGTCCACTGAAAGTCCAGTTTTAGCCGTTGCACAGGAATTTCTGGTTCTGAACCTCTTTCTTTTTTATTTAAATCCTGGTTGCGTCCCTAACAGGGGTGTACTTATGGGGTTCACTCCCGGTCCTCTCAAAACTGCAGATGATGTTTCACGATGGTCTTCATAGAACATTTTGGTTCATTGATGATGCGTAACTCTCTCACTGATGCAGTTGTGACAATTGAAAAATGGTTTACTGCTTTACAGACGCAGACTATTTATTTTGCACCACTTGAGCCATATAAAGATCCTCCCCTTCTTAACCTTGAGTCCTCTCTATATTAAAATTTCCCTCATCCCTTTTATAAGTTGACATTGTTATGAAAGTGCACCGCTTCCAGAATCCCATCAATTTTCTCGAAATCGTGAGATTCATGTTTTACGCTAGTTCTATTGCGTTTCAAATCGGAAGTTTAAGAACTAAAATAGATATACCTTGTGGGAGAATGGTGCACTCTACGCGACTCCTAAAATTTGTTGCACGGCCCCTGTATAGACACGACCCCAGTCCGGGAAGCTCGTGTTCAATCATTTTTTTCTTGTTTTCAGGTGTCCTTGGAATCAAGGTCAAGATTATGCTCCCATGGGACCCCAACGGTAAGATCGGACCCAAGAAGCCCCTTCCCGATAACGTGAGCATTGTGGAGCCTAAAGACGAGGATGAAGTCACTGGACCCAAGTCTGAATCGAAGACCCCCAAACCAGACCCTGTCCCGAGCCAGGTGCCCCAGGCTATGCCACCCCAAGCGATGCCCCCTCAAGCCCAGGTTCAGCAGATGGGACCCCCAATGTAATTTATCGTGATCGCTAAATAAAGGGAAAAAATTGAAATGACTTCTGTTTTATTCATGGTTCAGCATTGTAAGTGCAGCTGGGGAAGTGGAGAGTAATTTCAAAGGCATACAGGGTGTATGTTAACAGGGTATATCTTAACCTTTTTCCCTCCTAACGGTGAAATAGAGGGGACCCCCTTACCCCAGAGTCATAACGGATCCTAAAGTGCTAATTTCTTCTAAATTGTTACAGGGTGTCCATAAATTCCCTTTGCAATTTTCATTTTGTTATGAAGTCAATTCTTGGTGCTCCCGAAGTATGCGAACCAAGATGGCGGACATCGGAACGTAACAGGTTAGGGTTAGGCGATCATTTTTTTCCAATATCAGTTCAAAGACTAGCCAAGAGCCTCCTGTAGTATTTATACCTAAAATTATGGCCTAACCTAGTACACATATTACATTTCAATGTCCACCGTCTTGGTTCGCATACTTCGGGAGCCCCCAATTCTTAATATATCTTAACCAGGTTTGCTGTTTTTAAATCTGTAATTGCTTAAGTATTTTCGCATCTGTAGGGCCAAAACGAAATCTATAAATTTCTTTTGCAGTTTTCAGACTTTATGGACACCCTGTATATTTATTGCTGGCTGGGGGTTCCAAAAGAGGTCAAATATGCATTGTGTTTGGTACAGTTAGACTCGCTATCTTTCTAAAGCTGTGTCAAATTAAGTTGGGTGCTGCCAGAGAAAATTTGAAGTGAGAACTGCCTATTACATCAAGTTCATAACTAAATCAGTTTGGGTCGAATAGAGCAGGAGTGTTGAACATTTTTTGTAGGCGGGGCACATAACGAATTTTGACAGTTAGCTGGGCCACACAAAAGAAATAAGTTTTTCGGTGTGCGTCTCGAATTAAAAGATTATCGACAATCATAGCGGTGCGGAAAAGGAGAGAGGGCGGCTATCGTTTTACAGCAAGTAGTAATAAAGGCATCTGGCAAAACGGCGAATAATTTCACCCAGTGACAAGAGCAAAAAAACGGTATTACCTACGTAAGTGCCTTTCTAAACATGCACTTTCGGATTAGGATATTATGCTTGATGGGGAAAAGTCTTCTTTGACAAGGGTCACAATAAATGGTTTGGTGGGCCTGGATTGAAAATTGTTGTATTCGGCATCATTAGTTGGTTCATTGTTATGTTGTAAGAATATTTTGGCTTAAAAATCTGATTAAGTTTTTGTCATTCGAAAAAACCTGTCCCAAGGTAATCAGGCCCTTGTCAGGTTTTATCGACTTTTTTAAACTCTATGGCACTGGACTCTGATGAGTTGAGAACTAATGGACTTTGGAATTCACTACATCAGGGTGTGCTGAGCGAAGTTGTTTCTAAATCTGAACTAGGGTTTGTGCAGTGCCTTGGAGTTTCTCTCCAGAGCCGGCCCGCGATGAGATTTTGACCGGTCCGCTGACTGTACTTCAGTACATTATGATATTACATTATTACTTATCGATTTTAGTCTATAAGTATGTTGATAGGTATTTGCCTGTCTGTTAGATGCACGCGATATCTCATGAAAGCGAGATTGAATCTGCTCCAGATTTTGCATGTGCGTTCATCATATGTCGAACCAAAAGCCTATTGATTTTGGATGAATTATGTCGTATAATTAGCGAGTTATTAATTAATTAGACACAGGGTGTCACTATGGAGTAAGAGCGCTGTTTTGGGGGATTCCCTAACTTTCGATCGATAAGTCTTAGGTCTCTGACCGATATTCTCGTTACACTTTTAGCAGATTATGATAAATTCATTATGTGTTTTTTGGTCTCTATTTTTGTGTAAAGTTCAGACTTTACTTTAAATGCAATTTATAATTTTCTATCTTGCATTAGCGAAGATTAAGATATCGAATACTGTTCATGTAATAATCCGGCCCACCGAGGACTTCATTTTCCCACATCTGGTCCGCCGACTAGAGAAGTTTCCCACCCCTGGTCTTGAATATGTTTTCATGCTCATCTAGCTTTGCTGATTGTTGAAGTCTTGAATCGCAATCTAAAATCAATCCTGTAACATGGTTGGTTATTTTACATGGTCTTGTGGTTCGCGACTTCCTCTGCCATCAAATTTGAAACGAATAACTGGCTGAGTAATCCCATACCCGACATGGATCAAATGAGAGGCCGAGGTTCGTCATATGATTAAGCCGTCTTAGTGACTTTTCTCTTCATAAATATGGAAATCATATCATCTGCGGCCAGCCTGGGCGTTTCTGATTACCCTTTGTAAGTTTGCATCCATGTGTAATTAATTATCTGCCTGACTGAAGAATATTTGGCTCGTTATGGGACTCTTCGCTGGCCGAATATGGTTTGACATTTTACGGCCTTGTACCCTCAGTCCCTTACCCAACCTTATATTTATGTAGCCAGTCGTCCGTCTCCAAGATAAATATAAAATTCGGTGACCGTACATTTGAACCCATGTGTATATCCACGGGTTCAATCTATATGCGGGTGCTAAAACCCATGGGTTAGGGTTAGTATGGGTTCAACTATCCGAAAAACAAAAAAAATTCCATGGGTGCAATTGTCATGGGTTCAAATGTAATGGAACCATAAAATTCTACTCCACCAATCCATTAAATAAAAATTTTTAATCTTCTCCTGGTCAATCCGGCAATGTAAAAGAGTAATGAAACACTTCCACACCCTTCCGTTTTGCCAATCTCTCTTGGTTCACAATGGTTAAAATAAATTTCTTTGTTGGCTTAATTCAGATTTGATTTGATATACCATATTCAAACAATCTTATTTTAGAATTTATTCCAAGTTGTTGAGTTATTCTATTTTGGCTATCCCTGCTACCTAGATTCATTCCTATTACAGTGATACCTTGACAGTCAAACGATCGACACTCGATTTGTATGGTAGCCGGCCAAAAATGCCATGGCACTCTAAACAGAAATTCGGTGCTGGAACACCCAAGCGTATTGAAATAATTACCATTGTTTCTTAGGTACTCCCGTAGTATGTGTACCAGGGGAATACCCTCATATTAATTTATGTCATGAGTGAGGTTTAGTCCATGATTCGTAAGTATTAGCAAGCTGTTATTACACTTTTCTAACATTCCCCTTAGTTTGGTAATTTCACCATTTCAAGAGTATGGTTCTTTACATAATATAACATTGGTACATGCACTTCTAGAGCGCCGTTCCTTATGCCAAAAAGTTGGCGCTCCAGAAGTATGTGTACCAATATGGAGGTAACTAATTTTTTCGCTTGTTTTACATAAAGTTGTGTAAAGGGACTGAAACATATGGGCAGGGGTATATTCACTTGGCTAATGCAGAAAGTCCCCCAACTGGTAATAGTACTAAAAAACGGAAAATGGAATAAAATTATAGCCTAACCTGGGACACATACTACGAGAGTACGTAAGGTTTGGTACTTGAACAAATTGGTAGCCGAACACCAAAATGAATTGTTCGATTACCGAGGTATCACTGTAGCTATATTCCACAACGAATGTCTCCATTAGAAAGCACTACAGCTTATTTTATTGAACAAAGAGAAAATTAATAACACTGGCCATTTGAAACACGATGAAAACAAAGGACTGAAAATGTATATTTATAAATAATTTATTTACTTTCCATTCGTCAAAAAACCCTCCTCGTGAAACAAAACTTGATGAAAGCCGTGCATCAGAAAGAATGTAAACTAATTAAGAATGAGAAACAGACATTTTAGTTGGTCAAAGACTCTAAGAAACGCCCTTTTTAATCCAACAGAAAAGCTCCCCCCCCTCATCTAGAAGTTGAAATTGGTGTAAAAAGCAGTATATCAAAGCAGTACAGTATATCAAAAAAAATAATATTTAGCAATTCAGTTTTCACAAACAACATTAAACATGAATTGAAAACAAATACAATATGATGAATGCTGTTAGTTGCATCGACTGCTATCGACAGATTTAAATATTTATTTTCATCGTGCAAGAATCAATGCAAAACAATAAATATAACAAAAATCGGAAAACATTGAATCTAGCAATTGATGAGGCGTCACGAAACACTCAGTGAGTCATCCAGTCAGAGACACCTTGTTGCTAAGTTTAAAAAGCAAATATTGCAAAGGAACAATTTTTTAAAGAGATCGACTTAAACTACACAATCATGAAAAATTATTGAAAAAAACAATTAGGATTCATATTATATAGATGGCTTGGTCATTTAGCTTCTACAGCAGGGGTTGGCTACTTTTTGTCGCTCGCGGGCCAAAATAATGGTTGCAAGTCATTGGCGGGCCGCACATATTTTTAGAAAGTTGAAAACCGAACAGATGATAGTTTTATAATAAAAATGAAGCAGTGATACATTTCTCGACTAGGATGTAGATGACGGGCACCGGATTGTAGTATGTGTACCAGGTTAGAGTTAGGTCATAATTTCAGGTACAAATACTACAGTAGTCACTTGGCTAGTCCCTGAACTCGTAATAGAACTAAAATAAGGAAAATTGGAATAAAATTATGGCCTAACCCTAACCTGGTACACATACTACGTTCCGGTGTCCGCCATCTTGGTTCACATATTTATATATAACATGCACACACGCAGGTCCGACCCCCCATGTGGGATAATTAAGTGCAAGAGCTTTATGGCAGCTACATTTTTGAAGTTTATTGCAAAAAGGTGAACGAAAAGCAACATTTTATAAAGTGCGACAAAAAACTAATTAATCTCAGTAAAAAATATTTATTTTGAAATATATTCGGAATATAAATTAATTATGTTTATTATACATCCCACTAATCAACTTATATAGTTACGAACAGTGATGTACTAATAATTCTCCTTTCATTGCTGTTGTGTTGTCACTATCCTTCCCAAACCAGTTGTTGTACGCCAGTAAAGCAGCGTTTTTCGCTGAAATCGCTGACATTTCCATGGCACTGGCAACCCATTCCATAGGGCTAGTATAGTACAATCCAGCAGAGTTTAGAACAAATGATGTGAGCTCCTCTGGTGGCCTATAACAAAAATAAGATTTAGAAATGGATTTTGCATATAGGAGTGAGCTTTTCAGGATAATTTACTATTGTAGAAGACTTGAATACTGGCTTGGCGGTGTGGCGCATCATGCTAAGCGTTAGGAATACGCTTGCCACCGCATCTCTGATTACCTTGCGTGGGTTCGCAGGTTCGAATCCCATGCGGGGATGATTATGTGCAAGAGGATTGCTGGACTCCTCGCCGTCGTTGGGTGGTTCACGTAATCGCTGGTCGGTTACGGCTTCCTCCACCACCAAGTCCATGCTTCCAAAAACAAATACCTTGCTAACTAATCACATAATCGACATGGACTGGTAACCGGACGAGAGGCCGTGGTTCGCCATATGGATAAGCCGTCTTATCGGCTTTCTGCTCCCCCGGGATAAATATGTAAATCCTATCCTATACAGAAGGTGACTTCTAAGTCATTAATAAGTCACGTGGCTTTCCAAGGTGAGTTGATCAGGGGCCAAAATTAGAAGCAGAAGGATACCGCCGGGCCGGGGGAGAGTGAAGCGCCCCGCGGGAATCGCGGATATCAGGTACGTGTAATTAAGATACCGGTATAATTAAATTGTTGAATATTATACGTGTAACTTATTGTGATGTAACAATTTGGTGGAATCTGTAAAAGAGAAAGTTGTTAAAACTATTTCACTCAGTTATGGCGGGCCATATTAAATCAATACACTGGCCGCGGTTTGGAAACCACTGATGTAAGAGATCTCTCTGGTGTTTGACCCGAAATCTCACCCTTAGATGCCAAATAGAGATATCAGCAGTCACAAGTAATTTGTCAGAGTCATAGTTATTTTATTTGTCACTTCGAATAAAGAAAACATTCAACATTAAAGTGTATGTAATAAATACAGTATCAAAATGACAGGTGATGTGAAGGACGGATTGTTCCGTCATCTAGTCTACAGCACCTTTTTAAAAATAAAAAAAATAAAAAAATAAAAAGAGAAGTAACAGTATATCACAATAGAATTGAATAGATTTTCGGTTGCTCATTGGCGTATACTAGTGAAACCTCTAATATAACATTATGGGAAATCGACAAATTCAAACCACGTGATTGACGGGGGAAAACCCGAGTCTTGTTAACAAAACAAACATCCTCCCAAGCAAATGACAATTGAAAAAGGCAGGGTAAGTTTTAATACTACGATCAAAATATTTAAAGTTTGTGATAGTAGGGTTCTGTATAACAATTGTTCTATCAGAACTCTTTTCACTTTGAGTTCAGGGCTTGTAACCGGCCGAGAGGCCGTGGTTCGCCATAAAATTAAGCCGTCTGAACGGCCTTTCTCTCCCCCAGGATAAATATGAAAATCCCATCTTATATATATATACAGGGAGTCCTCGGGTTACGACGGTCGCGACTTACGCTGTTTCGAGGTTACGAACACGCACTCCATAAGGCTGTTTCGACGTTACGAACGCACTCCATAAAGAATATAAAAGATAATACCGTACTGTACAGTATTTGCTTTTATTCATGTGATATGGAATTGTTTTCTGTTTTTTTAATAAAGCACTTTTTTGCATTATTTGTACATTTTATTACAGTACCATACTTTACAATACAGTACGATATGTATAGAGTAATTTATGTACTGTGCAGTATAATGTTCCGACTTACACTGAAATTCGGGTTACACCGCGTCTCGAGAACGAAACAACGTCGTAAGTCGAGGACTCCTTGTATATATAAAATCCAAATTTTTATTATTTTACTCACTCATAGACAGGGTATGCCTTCCATACAACAGTTGCTTTCGTAGTGTATGATTCAAATAAATAATCTCTCTCTTCATCAGACATTGGATCAGTGGTGAATACTTTGTACACAGGTTCAACCTCTTCTGATGTTGGATCGTAGTCTACGGGAATATGAAGACCAATGTTCCTGTATTGAAAATCAGGGATTAAATGTAGAATTTGGCATTGGCGCTCCAGAAGTATGTGTACCAAAATGGAGGTAGCTAATTTTGTTCGCCTACTTTACATCAAGTTGTATAAAGGGATTGAAACCTATGGGCAGGGGGTTATATTCACTCAGCTAGCACAGACAGTCCCCGAACTTGTAAAAGAACTAAAATAAGGAAAATCGAAATAAAATTATGGTCTAACCCTAACCTGGTACACAAACTACGGGAATACTGACTGGGACGCGATGTGCAATTTATATCGGAGTCCAAACCTGAGGTGTAGCCAGGAATTTCCTAGGGGGGTTCGGAAATTTCTAATATTGCCAAGTTAGAGTCTTAAGGGCCCAAAAAGCGTTTCTAGCTATGAAAACTTGTATGATAAAGAAAATTTTTTTACAATGCGACCCTCAAAATCCCTCCGCTGGCTATGCTCCTGGTCCTAACATATATAAACTTATATACCAGTACTAATATATTAACCCTTTTTTCCGCTGTATACAATCGACTTCCATGCAAACCAAATGTTCAATCGCAAAAGCGACTCTCCAACCCAGAAAATTCATAATAATTAGGGCTGGAAATGGTTAACCGATTTTAGATGGTTAACGGTTTCGATTTATTTTAACTGTTAATTGATATCTCAGGTACAAAACATCTTTATAGTGTATAATTTTTTTTTTCAAAATAATTACGTCATGGCAATTTTATCTCCTGGGGCGTTTAATTCAAACGTCACACTGCGGTTAACCGGTTAATTTTATTCGGTTAACGGTTGAAGTGTTTTTCTGACTCCCAACCCAGAAAATCCATATTATTATTGCATAAAAAGTCTGTCTGAAACTTGACTCCAATCACAACTGAAGTCCCACACAATAAACAAGTTTTTGATGCCTTCAATTGAGAAACGGTTAAACAAACATCGCTTTACCTGTAGAATGTGTCCTGGTTTGAAACAAGAATTGATCCTGGACAGACTTTCCATGAGTTGCATTTGAATAAACTTGAATTCAATTTGCCTTTCACAAAATTTGCAGTGGTTTTCCTGAAAATAAGGCAGTGTGTTGATTGTGATTCCGCACATTGAGTGAATATATATTCATAGATTCTTCACCAGTGGTTCCCAAACTGGGGGTGATTATCCATAAAGAGGTAATTTGGCAATTTTTAGGAAGTAACCCAGACGTTCACTGTTTTAACAATTTCTCCGGTACTTTTGACTAGTCTGTGGAAAAGTTGGACTAGTGAGAAGATACCATTATGACTGAGCGCTCCTGAAGACAAGAACCCACCTAAGTAGAACAATAATCTGGTGCTTTGCCGCCGACGAGGTGGCAATGTAATCCTAGCATCTAATCAATGAGCTTAGTCGTCTAGTCACTCACTCTGTAGGAACATGATAACAGATTGTGGGCTGAAATGCTGCTCTAGCACAAGTTTAGCTTTTTAAAAGTCTGATCGGAAGATAAAATAGGTGTTGGTATTCATCCGCCATTTTTTGGTCAAAGAAAAATGATGATGATATGACTATTTAATTGGGCTCCCGAAGTATGCGAACCAAGATGGCGGACATCGGGAATGTAATATGTGTACTAGGATAGGGTTAGGCCATAATTTGAGGTATAAATACTACGGGTGGCTCTTGGCTAGTCTTCGAACTGATATTAGGACTAAAATAGGGAAAATTGGAAAAAAAATATCGCCTAACCCTAACCTGTTACCCATGTTTACGTTCCGATGTTCCGCCATCTTGGTTCGCATAACTTCGGGAGCACCCTTTAATTTTATGAGGGGTAATTGAGCTTGTGGTAATTGCAGAAAGTACGCATTGTACATACAGAATTATGAAAGATAAAAAATTGCATTTCAGAGTGGAAGGGAAGGCAATAAACCAGTAATGGTGATGGAGCAACATTACCTATGATGAAGTCTAACATTAAATCATACTGAGGAAAATATTTCAAACATTGTTCGAATATCGTTTCAGTGGAAGAAATCGACTTAACCATGGTAACCACATTTCATTGAATGACAAATAGAAGAGTAGTTATTTTATAGCTAGCATTAGTTGGTATATGGGGTAGAAAACAGAGAGAGTACAAGAACCCAGGTTATGTGGAAAAGATTCTAGATTATTGAAACTTTTCATACACATTATCGTCCGGTAGACTATTAGTTGAGTGCATTTGTAATCAAGTAAATTTTATCTCATATCGCGCACCGCTTGTTTGTTTGTTGTGTTCTACAATTCTCGCTAGTCCCTTGTACAGATATAGTAGAAATTACACTCCATGTTGAAACTCCACATTCACAGTCAAGTATTGACGCCCGGATTATTTTCCGTGTCTCTTTTTTTTTTTAATTTACTTCAATGTGTTGTTTGCTGTATTGGGTAAATGGGCACGTGCACCAGCACATCTTAAATCTTTTTTAGATTTTGCCCCCTTTCCTGATTTTCCGTACATTTGTTTGTTTTGCCCTGTATTGTCTATTTGTTTTGTTGTAACGGAAAATCGAAATAAACACTTACTTACTTACATACACATACAGAAGTTCAAGTGTAAACAAAGTTTTTCTTAATTTCATAGGAAGGCTTCTGTTTTTTCGTCTCCCTGTAAAGTAGTTTACTTTACGCCACTCTAGACCAGTGCTACTCAACCGGTTGTCCGAATCCAAACCTTTCAAGTATTTGATTCGGACGGCACCTAATTCTTTATTTTAGATTATTAACTCACTCATAAAGTTTCCTTTTATAAAACGACTTCTATAGTTTTGAATATATATGGAAAAAACTATAACACCATAATGAACAATCTTGATTAGCTAATAATAATTAGTCGGTCGAGAAAGTGAGTAGCCCTGGTCTAGACAACCAACTCGAATACAACTCCATACCTGTATCGTTTTCCATTGGTCTTTGAACTCGGACAGTTTTCTTCATTAGAACAAGCAGATGACAAGTCAATGTGGTACATATCACTTTGTATTGGTGCCGCGATTATAACTATATCATAGGTCTTTGGTTGAGATGGACTGAACAGAAAAATAATGAAAAGCTGTAATAGGAAGCAGTAGAACAGGATTTCAATAGCCTGGCCTATGTCGTCTGATCTAGGAATCGGACGACCTGGACCCGTTTCTCGAACAAAGAGCGGTACGGCGACCGCTTCAACTTGGGTGTAGCGATTATAACTATATCATAGGTCTTTGGTTGAGATGGACTGAACAGAAAAATAATGAATAGTAATAGAGTATGATTTACATATTTATCCTGGGGGAAAGCAAAGCCTCAGCCCACGTCGTCCTGTAACCGATCTAGACCCGTCCCTCAAACTAAGGGCAGGCGATACAGGACACACGGCCGTGTTGAGAGAGCTTGGCGACTACTTCAATTTCATGCAGGGCCTGGACTCGGGTGAGGACGCGACCCTAAAACAGACATGGTCCTGAGATTGACTTTGTCTCATTTGATAAATCATGACCTCTTGTCTGGTTACTTATCCTTGAGGAGGATTTATTTCTGAGTAGGGAAAGCTGACAAGACGGCTTAATCATATGCCGATAGGACAAATTAATCATCAGCGAACCACGGTCTCCTGTCTCGTTACAGATCCATGTTGAGCATGCACGAGCCGAAAAAAACAGAATACCGCTTTGCCTGCGGCAAGACTACAATATTATGTCTATTACATGACATGAGAACATGCTAAAACAATTATTTCAGACGATGAAAAAAATAGATTGAATATTGCCAACAACACGTCCATGTGATGCCTGAGCAATACCTTTGACAATATTTGATTCCTAGCATAACATATTTCTATAAATTATAAAAATAAATAAATGAAAGAGTTGAGCTTTGCCAACAGAAAAAAAAAATGGATCTTCAATTACTATTTACTGATTTAGTAAGCCACTCTTAGTTGAGAGTTCAGAACATTACTTTGAGCAATCTTTTATAATATTTTGCTAAGTAAAGCCAAATATTTAAGATATACATTGAATTTATGTTTCTACAATATTTTTTCAAAAATTCATTCCGACGAGAAATTTTTTTTTATAAAAATCAATTCGACCAAAAAAAATTCGAAAAAAAAAATATCAACATACCTTTGTTTTGTGAAAACACTAAATTTCTCTGTTTTCGACGCAGCATTATACACTACTTTCGATACATGTTCGTTTATTATATTCGCTGATGAATTCTTGACGAGTTCTCCGCAGACTAACTTGTTGCCTCCTTTTACAGACCATAGACCAGGTTGTATGCCAGCCATTGATACTGCGGCTGAAATTGTAACAGAGAGCTTTCAGCTTCTTCCACCGCCCAAGTTATGGCATAGCAAGGGGGGTTTGAGCGTCGAAACCCCCCTCCTTTTGAAAATTTTGGAAGACAAAGTAGGGTCTGCGGTCGCTTAGGGGTTCGCGAAGCGATTTTGGCGGGACCCCGAAGCAACTTGTTACCGACACAGAAGCACTGCTGTGATGGTTTTCATAAGGGACGGTGATGAAAAGGTTTTAGTATTTATTTGTGAAAATACACGTTTTTCTGCAAGAAGTAAAACATGAATTACACAAAAAAATCGGGCGTAGCAAATTTTTGACTAAAAGACTAAAAAAGTCGCTTATAACATGTGCGATTGCAGTTAAAATCGCGGATTGTTAAAGATAATAAAGGAGTGAACACAAATATTTTGATTAAAAAGTACCATTGTAAAATACTAAATATAAAGGAAGGAAGGGAAACACCGTAAGTTTTGTTTTCGGAGGCCCGCAACAGATTAAAAAAGCTTTTTTAGACATTGCATATCACAAAAAAATTATCAGTAAGGAAGGAAATTCCAGAGAAAACACTTCAACCGTTAACCGCAAACTCTCTCACAATAAAATCAGTTTCATATATATTTTGAGGAGAAACTTATAATTGTAAAATTTTCATAATCAGTAAGAGTACTTTGAATTAAACACCACAGGAGATAATATTGGGATGAACTAATTATTTTTTAAGAAATTGTATAGTATAAAGTTAATTTATACCTGAAGTGTTAGTTAATGGTCAAAATAAATTGAAACCGTTAACCATCTAAACTCGGTTAACCGATTAACCATTTCCAGCCCTAGTTATTTGTAATACCTAAGATCAGTAGTAAACACTGATCAAGCAGAATGACAGAACAGACATACATTTTATTGCCTATTGAGAATAATAATAATTCGACTTACTAACAAATCCATTAACGCTGGCATTCTGGCCGTAGTTTGTTCTCAAACCTGGCGACACCAAATTGTCAATCATGAATTCGCCGATCCCATCAGAAGAAAACTCAGCAACTCCAGTGATCTGGATTAAACAAGGTACGTTGTGAGATGTCCACTCTCCTATGTTATGTAGCATATAAAATGACCTTCAAAATAAGACCTTTTCATACTAGCTTTGGTTATTGGTTAGCGCGCAACGCCGAGGTTTATTGAATTATTTTCTTGTTGTGCGACGTTTTTCTATCGCAGTGGGAAGTACACTCGTGAAATGTAAGCGATATTTTATTACTTCCAAATGTCATATAACGTTCATTCTTATATTGCTGGGTAGGAAATGAGCTATTCTTCCAAACAAGACCATAACAAACATTCCAGACCTCATGGTTTACACACAGCGTCTGAAATTGCGCTAATGCAACGATTCGCATAGAACAGGTTAACGGTAGCTCCCTGATTACATCTATGAATGTTACATAGGCAATAATATGCTTATGGAGTGCCATACCATTAAGACTCGAACATGACCTATGTGGTACTGATCCGATATAGAAATGTTCTCTGCTCCGTTAGAATAAAATGAAAACAGTGGATAAAAAAACATTAAAAGGGGGCTGACAAGACTGTGACGTCAGCAACCTCTAATAAGCTGTTTATCTTGTACAGTGAAACCTAGATGAACTAAAATAGTTTACCTGTGTGGCATGCACAAAATCGTTCCCTCCTATCGCATGCAAAAAGCCTTGAACAGTGTCGTAACTATGACCTTGTTTTTGAAGGTCGTATATTCTAAATAAAAGTGTGCGCGTGAGTAGTGGAAGCATGCAGTGAAAATTGCAATTGTTTTGGGGGGGTGAAAAATTTTTAATTCATTCATTTGAAAATGGGTGATTCTGTATTTTACTTTTACTTCTGTAAATTTCTTAGTTGAATGACATACTATATTTCACTTCCATTAATTAAAGCAATTTCATCATAAAACAGTATTCTTAATAATTACCCCAAGTTAAAAAAGGATAGGCCTATACCAGGAAAGACTTATACATAAAATGTCTTATTCTTGCCTCCCAGTCATATACCGAAATCATGTGTGTATTTGTTATTTATTTATGTAAATATATGTGTTTTCTTGGTTTGAAAATTGAAATAAAATCTCTCTCTCTCTCATAAGACTCTGTTATAAGAAGCAACTAGGTAAGAAATGACTGAAAACTTTGAGTTTATGAGACACAAAAAACATACAGTTTTGCTGTGAAGTGCATTGTCAAGTCTATGTATCTGAAACAAATAACTGGCTAACTAATCTCATACCCGACATGGACTCGTAACCGGAAGAGAGGCCACGGTTCGCCATATGATTAAACGTCTTATCTTTTTTTTTCCTTCGGAAAAATATGCAAATCCTATCTTACTCTAGGGCCTTGTAAAGCGTAAAGCGTGATTAATCGTTATGGTTATCGAGCAGCGACACCGAAATTGGCTTACCCCACAAATTTATTTATGAATCTTTTCTCAAGCCATTGAAGTCGAAATAAATCCAATCCGAATGTCCAAAACATTTTAAGCAAAGATACGATAGACCATGTGCTTGTCTGTAATACATAATCTTTTCCATCGAAAATTCCAAGTGTGCTGGAAAGAGAACTCGCTTCTTGCAGATCTGTCCGTGATAAAGACAAGATTTATTTGTTGTTATTTGAAAATTTGCCCGTATAAATACACCGACTATACAATTCAATGGTGAGCGAACGCATACTACTTCTTTTATCAATACTTTTCCACCTAAAATCTGTTCGTTTCAAACCTTATTTGAGGTTTTGTTTGCTTTCCCGATTCTATAATCAGTTTTATTAGGCTTCCCGCTGCTTGTCAGCAGGGAACCTATTGTATTCCTGTGTTTTATTATTATTATTATTTATTTATTATTATTTTTTTTTCAAATTGGTCCTACAAACTTGAAATTCACCTCAAATGTGCAGAAGTTCTCAGCTAGCAATAAAATGCAAATTTTTTTTTACGCGGGAAGCCTGTTAAAGCTGCACGCAGCTCTAGTTTATTTCGTTTTTATCAATTACTTTATCGTCTATTATGCTGGTTAGGGAGTCAGAATAAACTAATAAATTGCATTTGATGATATGGTTGCAATTGCTTCTTTTAACAAATGTCACTGAACCTTGGGGTGAATTGCGAAAGAGATTCAGCATTTTTATTTCAACATTTCTCAAGATCAATATTTCGTCTTGATTACGGCCATGGCAGAAAAGTCTGCTTCACATAAATACAAAGTCGCAAAGAGGATGAGAGTGCGCAACTTTTTTGGTTGTTAGGCCATAATTTCAGGTACAAATATTATGGGAGTCACTTGGCTAGTCCCCGAACTCGTAATAAAACTAAAATAAGGAAAATTGAATCAAAATTATGGCCTAACCCCAACCTGGTACACATACTACATTTCGGTGTTCACCATCTTGGTTCACAAACTTCGGGATTACCACGCTTTTTTAACCAAGGAAGTATAATCTTAATATATAAAGGATATTTTAAAACCCATTAAATTTTCAGAATTAAACTTTCTTTTTATAACACCACAGATAAGATCGATGTGATTTTCCTTTTTCTTTTCCAGTAAAGGTAGGAGATATAAGTTGGTTGGAAGGAAATCACATATCACCGAGATTTTGAACGCCCTAGCAAATTGAAACCATGCACTTTGAGAACTACTGTGCTAGAAATATTATATCCATCACTCACTAGGAGAATCCTTAACAAACTTCTTCATGTACAGGTTCTTGCTATGTATAATTGAGCCGCCGCTTTCATATTCTCGTCCATCTATTGTGACAGTGTCGAGACGGCCACAAATTCTCGAATCTTTTTCAAATAAGTCAATTTGAACATTTTTTCCGAATTTTTCACGAACAAAATGAGAAGCTGATGAACCCCCAATTCCTCCACCGATTATCGCTGAAATAAATGAATAAAGAAATGTTTGAAGATTGATTTTGACGTTTTGTCGTCTTTCGCTTCGAGGATGTGTAGAGGCGCCACTGATACCTTATGAGTTACGAGAGAGAGGGAGAGAGATTTTATTTCCACAAAACAATGTTAAAAAGGACAATAGTACTGGTTTATATATAAATACAGTGCAGTGAATATTCAATCATTGATTTGCAGTACAGCGCACTATCCAAACTCCAAGAATTTCCCTCCATTTGGCTCAATAAAACAAACACTCTATGTGTCTCACAAACGAGGGGCGTCTGGCACCACGTCAGATGCGTCATATCACACCATGCTTGTCTCAATAAAAATCTAAGTTGATCGCGGCCGTCACATGACCGAAATTGCCGTTTTTTGCTAAAAACTCTCGAATGCTATGGTAAAATTTTTTTTCCTTCAGTAAATCGGATTATTTTTTCCCAAGGAATTCAATGATGACATTACTAAATTGCACTTTTTTGTAGTATTTTGCGCAACTCCATTATACTGTATTATTACCGATATTGAGGGACAACAATGTCCAGACGTCTCCCAAAGGTGGGGTGTCTGATCATCTGTAAAATGGGTTTCTCTGAAACGGGACAATGTCACCATACTTGTATAGTGTGCCGTACTGAATTGTGTTGGTCAGTATGCAAGATATGTAACAAGATAGGCTGCTAGTTATTGGAAGAACCGAAACCTTTTCAGCAAATGTGGATGTGGATTTTCAATAGTCTTGAAGGTCTAAAAAGTGCTTCAAGCCATAAAAAATTGCTACTAATATTTTTTTATATTCACACATCACGTAACTGTTTGCTGTTTTTTAAGGAGTTACAGCATTTACTTTGCTAAACACCATTTTACCGGTCTTACTACTTACTGAATACAGCGCGAAACACCGCAAAGAGCGCAAAACAGAGGGAAACAGCGCAAAACAGTGTTGAAACAGCGCGAAAGAGCGCAAAACAGAGGGAAACAGTGTGAAGCAGAAAAAAATTTTGCAATGAGTTCGGGGCACCTTGTTTTGAGTTGGAGTACCACGGCAGCAAATTAAAAACACAAACCAACGTATGTAGCCAGTAATGCTGTAATGGCAGGTCTGCCCCTGCTGGTGACACATTTTGGGTACCATAATTTAGAACATTTTCCATATGGATATGGTTGGCTTTAGGGTTAGGTAAAAAGGGACCTCCAGAAGTATGTGCACCAAGATGGCGCACAACCTGGAAATAGTATGTGTGTGTGTAGCGGATTCAGGTTGTGCGACATATTGCTGCACATACTTCTGGAGCACCAAAAAGGTAGATGAAATTTCGCATGATGACCTATAATCCGGTACATAACCTTGTAAATATGCCGGAAATAGCGCCATAAAACCATGGCGAGAGGCGCCGTGGTTCTTTCGTGGCAGGAGGTGGTAATGACTGCGTCTCCTGTTTTGCGCTGTTTCCCTCTGTTTTGCGCTGGTTTCCTTCTGTTTCGCGCTGTTTTCCTTTTTTTGCGCTGTTTCGCGCTATTTTGCGCTGTTTCGCGCTGTTTTGCGCTCTTTGCGGTGTTTCGCGCTGTATTCAGTAAGCAAGATTCCCATTTTACCATATAACTGATTTTCCTGTTCTTGTGCCTGTAAAAAATCGCTTCTACATTGTGGAAAAAATAAACAAATGTACGTAGTGTTAACATACAGACTTACCTATTTTACTTGGTGGATCAACTGCTGCTCCTTTCACGACTGTATGCAAAAAAAGCACAAGAACCAATTTCGATAAAAATCTGCCGTCCATGTTCTAAAGTTCGACTGACCCAATCTTTACTACTAAACCTGTCATCAACAATATTAGAAAACAAGATATTTACAGATTTAGCTGAGCAAACTAGGGCGCAGGTTCACTAAACGCTGTTCCATTCATTCTAATAGAATATGGCAGGTACGAGGTAGAATAATTCGAAAGAAACGTGCAAAATAACAGTGTTAAGGGAGCTGATTGGTATACATTACCATAATTCATCTTAGAATAGGATTTACATATTTATCCCAGGGGAAAGGAAAGCTGATAAGACAGCTCAACCATATGGCGAACCATTACATGTCGGGTATGAAATTGGTTAGTTACTTGTTTTCGGAAGCATGGACTTGATAATGGAAGAAGCCGTAACCGACCAGTGGTTTTGGCAATGGCTATTTGAACCAGTAAACCCTTAGTTATATACTAAGTATAAATCGAAGGCGTGTTCGTTCCCTGTATTCTGAGAACAGTTTTTATTATTTACTCTTTTCAATGTCATTTATAGTCCCAGTTGTCATTTATAGTCCCAGTATAAGTTTATCTCGACTCCATAATCACCGTAATACCGGTAGACGATAGAATAATTGATAAAGTAAAAACTGATTACCGGTACGGAATCAGGAAAGCGAACAAAAACCTATTTATCGTTTTCAATGTTGTTATCGCCTGTTGTTTTATTATGAAATTGAAAGTCTATATGTATCTACAAACCGTTCCTCGAAATAACATTCATGATAGCGTATGTCTGCTAGACTCTGAACGCCCACTTTCAACCACAAAAACAACCGCGATTTCACTAGCTTGGGCCACGCGTGGCGGCGACGTTCCCCGGGCAACCGCTAGGGGTAAATAAATGGCCAACCTCCTAGTGGTGAAAACAGAATAGGATTTGTTTCAATATATTTATCTTAGGGATTTGAATATTAAAATACCCGATCTGTTCAATTAGATACTAGAACATACTAAATACTAAACTTCATTTTAATCCTGCTGTCCAATGTTGAATCATGGAGCTCCATCATTAGTGCTTTTCTGATTTTTTTTAATGACATGCAATCGTATTCAAAAATTTTATCATGCATACCCCAAGCATGGGAAGAAAATTTATTAAAAACACCTCAAGCCAATCCTCATCGTAGTCTAATCTAAGATATTAGGAGCATCGATAAGATCCTTGTAGATCCTTACCACGGATATGGGCCGTGAGACGAAGCCTTGAAAACGCCCAGAAAATGAGTTTCGTAGCTCACATCTGGTAACTAAATAAATTCTTCAGTTTTGTGTGAAAATGAACATACTGAACGCATTACAGCTTGTTCCACAATCCTGATGCGAAAGTGAATATAAGAGGTTTCCGGAAATTCAATAACCATAAGTTTACAACACATACATGTAAGAACTATGCAATTCGAGTGTCCTGCAGCACACTAACACAAATGTATTCCTGTAACGTTTTGTCTGACCAAAATCAGACTTCCTCAGTCAATCATAATTTATTAGGTAGATTATGAAAAATATGGCATACATGTAACCAACAACAAAAATACTTCATTTGTGTGACAGGAGTCGCGAGTGACCTCGAAAGATCGAATAAATTTTATGTAATAACCACAAGCAGTTTACAACGAGAACAGCATAAGAATCTACATCCATTTTATAGAAGCTATCAAACGTATTTATTTTTAAACAATGTCACAAATTAACATCGTGAGCACGAAAACACAGATAAATCAGTTATTTTTCACTTAGAAATTTACCGGAAAAGTCAAGAAAATTAAAAGAATGTACAGTATGTACATTACATAGTGAACAGAAATATTACAATTAGTCTTTTTTTAGTTTATGTGGTTATGTATTTGAACAAAGGCAATATTATTTCTAGAAACAGGACTACGACACTAACCAATGTCCGAAAAAAACAAACAAATAAATGATACTCATTAAATCAACTGCAATATTTATTTCACTTTCTTCTGAATTGTTTTCGAAATCCATTATCTCGAAAATCGACTTTTCCTCTATAAGTGTACTGTGATTTTTGCAGTCAATACAAAAACAAAAATCTGTGCAATTTAAGTTGATTTTGCCACACTTGCATAAATTATTTTGACTATTTTTCTTACACTTGCAGTTTGCCAACTCAAGAACTGATTTGAGGGCCACATGCTTCTTCATTGAATCATTGTTGGGTGGTAGAGTATAACCCTTATTAAATTAAAACTCCTAGGAAGACAGAGTGATCATTGAATTATCTGATTTTCATTTAAGTTTCCGATACACAACTGAAAACTAACGAATAGAGTTCAAAAACGCGAAAACGAGGTGATGTTTACAACCACGCCTGAAAATCTGTCTGAGTGAGAAATGTGTCTGAGCGGATGCGAAAAGGGGGCATTGTTACATCACTTTTTGCATCTTACTGATTGGCCAATGTCACGAAGTAAACAAGGAAGTCGATGCTCGGGGAAAGGTCCATGCCTTGAATACATGATGCATTTTATCTGATGTACTCAATGAGCGTATATAGGACTTACACGGGTCACGTGACCTTGTTTACTGGACGGCAATAAAACAAAAACGTTCATTTGGCTCCTGTCAGTTGCAAGTCGGATTATACGTTTTCGTGTTGTTTGGCTGTTGGAAATGGTTATTTCGTATTGTTCCGCTGGCTGTACGTATAGTATAGACAACGAAATGGATCTTCAGTTATATTCCACTGTTTTCAAAAGATTCGGAACGTCGCGCAATGTGGATATCATCTATTGGCAGGACTGCTTGGTGTCAACGTCAAGTCCAGAAAACAAGATATTTACAGATTTAGCTGAGCAAACTAGGGCGCAGGTTCACTAAACGCTGTTCCATTCATTCTAATAGAATATGGCAGGTACGAGGTAGAATAATTCGAAAGAAACGTGCAAAATAACAGTGTTAAGGGAGCTGATTGGTATACATTACCATAATTCATCTTAGAATAGGATTTACATATTTATCCCAGGGGAAAGGAAAGCTGATAAGACAGCTCAACCATATGGCGAACCATTACATGTCGGGTATGAAATTGGTTAGTTACTTGTTTTCGGAAGCATGGACTTGATAATGGAAGAAGCCGTAACCGACCAGTGGTTTTGGCAATGGCTATTTGAACCAGTAAACCCTTAGTTATATACTAAGTATAAATCGAAGGCGTGTTCGTTCCCTGTATTCTGAGAACAGTTTTTATTATTTACTCTTTTCAATGTCATTTATAGTCCCAGTTGTCATTTATAGTCCCAGTATAAGTTTATCTCGACTCCATAATCACCGTAATACCGGTAGACGATAGAATAATTGATAAAGTAAAAACTGATTACCGGTACGGAATCAGGAAAGCGAACAAAAACCTATTTATCGTTTTCAATGTTGTTATCGCCTGTTGTTTTATTATGAAATTGAAAGTCTATATGTATCTACAAACCGTTCCTCGAAATAACATTCATGATAGCGTATGTCTGCTAGACTCTGAACGCCCACTTTCAACCACAAAAACAACCGCGATTTCACTAGCTTGGGCCACGCGTGGCGGCGACGTTCCCCGGGCAACCGCTAGGGGTAAATAAATGGCCAACCTCCTAGTGGTGAAAACAGAATAGGATTTGTTTCAATATATTTATCTTAGGGATTTGAATATTAAAATACCCGATCTGTTCAATTAGATACTAGAACATACTAAATACTAAACTTCATTTTAATCCTGCTGTCCAATGTTGAATCATGGAGCTCCATCATTAGTGCTTTTCTGATTTTTTTTAATGACATGCAATCGTATTCAAAAATTTTATCATGCATACCCCAAGCATGGGAAGAAAATTTATTAAAAACACCTCAAGCCAATCCTCATCGTAGTCTAATCTAAGATATTAGGAGCATCGATAAGATCCTTGTAGATCCTTACCACGGATATGGGCCGTGAGACGAAGCCTTGAAAACGCCCAGAAAATGAGTTTCGTAGCTCACATCTGGTAACTAAATAAATTCTTCAGTTTTGTGTGAAAATGAACATACTGAACGCATTACAGCTTGTTCCACAATCCTGATGCGAAAGTGAATATAAGAGGTTTCCGGAAATTCAATAACCATAAGTTTACAACACATACATGTAAGAACTATGCAATTCGAGTGTCCTGCAGCACACTAACACAAATGTATTCCTGTAACGTTTTGTCTGACCAAAATCAGACTTCCTCAGTCAATCATAATTTATTAGGTAGATTATGAAAAATATGGCATACATGTAACCAACAACAAAAATACTTCATTTGTGTGACAGGAGTCGCGAGTGACCTCGAAAGATCGAATAAATTTTATGTAATAACCACAAGCAGTTTACAACGAGAACAGCATAAGAATCTACATCCATTTTATAGAAGCTATCAAACGTATTTATTTTTAAACAATGTCACAAATTAACATCGTGAGCACGAAAACACAGATAAATCAGTTATTTTTCACTTAGAAATTTACCGGAAAAGTCAAGAAAATTAAAAGAATGTACAGTATGTACATTACATAGTGAACAGAAATATTACAATTAGTCTTTTTTTAGTTTATGTGGTTATGTATTTGAACAAAGGCAATATTATTTCTAGAAACAGGACTACGACACTAACCAATGTCCGAAAAAAACAAACAAATAAATGATACTCATTAAATCAACTGCAATATTTATTTCACTTTCTTCTGAATTGTTTTCGAAATCCATTATCTCGAAAATCGACTTTTCCTCTATAAGTGTACTGTGATTTTTGCAGTCAATACAAAAACAAAAATCTGTGCAATTTAAGTTGATTTTGCCACACTTGCATAAATTATTTTGACTATTTTTCTTACACTTGCAGTTTGCCAACTCAAGAACTGATTTGAGGGCCACATGCTTCTTCATTGAATCATTGTTGGGTGGTAGAGTATAACCCTTATGTTTGTCAGTGTTAAATAGACGTGCCCTGGTATCATTTACATTCTTCATATCTTCTTCATACAGTGAACAAACAAAATCCTCAGCTTTATTC